GTCACCCAAGTTTTATGTACTTATCTAAACTTTTTCCAAGTTTATTCAGAAATAAAAGTGCTAGTTCTTTTCATTGTGAAATTTGTCAATTTGCCAAACACACTCGCGTTTCATACCCAATTCAGCCATACAAAGCATCAAAACCTTTTGCTATGATCCATAGTGATGTTTGGGGCCCTTCTCAAGTTTCAAATGTCACTGGAGCTCGGTGGTTCATCTCTTTCATAGATGATCGCACACGACTCACATGGATTTTTCTCATGAAAAATAAATCAGAAGTTCCTCAAATATTTAAGAATTTCAAAACAATAATTAAAAATCAATTCCAAACTTCCATTCAAGTTCTTAGAACTGACAATGGAAGAGAGTTTTTCAATTCTAATCTTGGCTCATATCTATCAAATGAGGGAATCATACACCAAAGTTCCTGTGTAGATACTCCTCAGCAAAATGGAATTGCCGAGAGAAAGAATAGACACCTTCTGGACATGGCAAGATCTTTGTTGTTTTCATCCAATGTTCCAAAATGCTTTTGGGGTGAGGCTGTACTTACAGCAGCATACCTAATCAATCGACTTCCATCCAAAGTACTAGATTTTCCACTCCAAATCAAGTTTTTTTTACAACATTTTCCCCACAGTCGGCTGATTTCCACTCTTCCTTTAAAAATATTTGGGTGTACTGTGTTTGTGCATATCCATCAACAACATCGAACCAAGTTTGACTCGCGATCCACCAAATGTATCTTTGTAGGATACTCTCCCAACAAAAAAGGTTACAAATGCTTCTGTCCTAATAACCAAAAGTTTTATCATACCATGGATGTTACATTTTTTGAAACAAAACTCTATTACCTCAAAACTGATATTAAGGGGAAAAGTTCTAGTCAGAGTCAACCACAAGAATATCAGTTTCTCTTGGATAGCACACTGGAAACACCTGAAATTCCACCTTCTTCAAGTGTCCAGATTGAACCTGAACCGAAACCAACTGTTTCTGAATTTTCCGATATAATTTTCTATCACAGAAAAAAGGGAAAACCTAAGGAAACAGAAACTCTAGCAGATTCCCAGCTATTGCCAACATCTGAACCTGAGGTAAAAATCCCTACATCTGACTTAAAGACTATGGAGGAAAATTCTGCAAGTACTAGTTTGAATGATCATGATAATTCTGATGAGAACCTACCAATTGCACTCAGGAAAGGGGTGAGAGAATGCAGAAGTAGACCATTGTACCCTATTGGCAACTACGTGAATTATGAGGGACTATCTTCATCATACCAAGCATTCACCAGCAAAATCAGTTCTATCTCCATTCCTAATTCAATCCAAGACGCCATGGCTATCCCAGAATGGAAGAAAGCAGTTAATGAAGAAGTTAATGCTCTGATGAAAAATGGTACTTGGGAAATTACCGATTTGCCTCATGGAAAGAATGTGATCGGGTGCAAGTGGATCTTCACTATAAAAACAAAGGCAGATGGGAGTATTGAGAGATATAAGGCTCGGTTGGTAGCTAAGGGATTTACTCAATCCTATGACATAGATTATGAGGAGACCTTTGCTCCGGTTGCAAAACTCAACACTATTTGGATACTCCTCTCTCTTGCAGCAAATTTGGATTGGTCCCTCCATCAATTAGATGTCAAGAATGCGTTCTTAAATGGGAATCTAGAAGAGGAGGTCTATATGGACATTCCTCCAGGACTACAAAACTCATCAAACATCAACAAAGTGTGTCGACTAAAAAAGGCACTTTATGGTCTCAAACAATCACCCCGAGCTTAGTTTGAAAGATTTACCAGAGTTATGAAGAGTAATGGGTATATACAGGGACAATCTGATCATACAATGTTTGTAAAACATTCTTCGGATAGACTAATTTCTATGTTGATTGTCTATGTCGATGACATTGTTCTAACAGGAGATTATGTTGAGGAGTTTCCAAAAATTAAAGAATTTTTGACCAGAGAGTTTGAGATCAAGGACCTAGGTAAACTCACATACTTCTTGGGAATGGAAGTGGCTAGATCTAAGAAGGAAATTGCTGTTTCTCAAAGAAAGTATGTACTGGATCTTCTTAAAGAAACATGTATGCTTATGTGTAAACCTGCAGAGACACCTATGGACTATACTACCAAACTTGGTTCAAATAAAGACAGTGCTCCTGTAGATAAGGGAAGATATCAAAGACTTGTAGGGAAGTTAATCTATCTCTCTCATACTAGGCCTGACATAGCATTCTCAGTAAGTGTTGTTAGTCAGTGCATGAACAACCCTACTGAAGAACACATGACAGCGGTGTACAGAATCTTGAGATACTTGAAAATGACTCCAGGAAAGGGGCTGTTATTCAGGAAGAACTTAAGTAGGGAAGTGGAATTATATTCTGATGCAGACTGGGCAGGCTCAATCACAGATAGACGGTCCACTTCTGGATATTGTACCTATGTTTGGAGAAATTTGACAACATGGAGAAGTAAAAAGCAAGCTGTGGTAGCTCGGAGTAGTGCAGAAGCAGAATTTCGAGCTATGGCTCATGGTATTTGTGAAGGAATTTGGGTGAAAAGAGTATTAGATGAATTGAAGATACCTTTTGAAGGATCAATCCAACTACTGTGTGATAGTCAATCTGCTATCAGTATTGCTAAAAATCCAGTTCATCACGACCGGACCAAGCATGTGAAAATAGATCGGCATTTCATCAGAGAAAAGATAGAAGGGAAAGTAATCAAGCCTGTTTACATTCCTTCTAATCTACAGACTGCCGATATCTTGACTAAAGCACTTCCAAGGGTGCATTTTGAAGATCTTAGTTGCAAGTTGGGTATGATAAATATTTACAACCCAACTTGAGGGGGAGTGTTGGGATTCTATGCTGTAAATTAGCTATAAATTAGGCTGTAAATTAGGTATAAACAACTGTGTAATTCTTTCCTTATTTAGATTAGATTAGGCAAGATTTTCTCCTTTAAAATAGGAAACAAGTCCTAATTGATTAGGACTCCAATTGTATATAAATAGACGTTCTGATGAAATACAAAGATAGGTCATTGAAACCTAAATTTCACACATTTGATATTATTCTTACTTCTTGATTTTGATTTATCATGAGCATGACTCTCATTGGAGCCACGTTCTGTTGATCTTCCTCTCGTCACTGATAAGGCATCACTTGTTACGAACTTGCCTACCTGTCTTCCTTGTTTTTGCGGCAACTTTCTTCCTCCAGAACAGCGACTACAACGTTATCGAAGACTAGATTGTCCGTAAGGATGTTGTTTGTGAGATTGATGATGAGCTAATCATACGAGTCAGGTAGACTCTGAAGTAGAAGCTCTGGATGTTCATTCACACGATTGCATGCCCCAACGTTGTGAGTTGGGAGAACAATGTATTTAGGGTGTCGATGTGGTCGGTCATTGATGTAGATTCTGCCATCTTCAGAGTGTAAAGTCTTTTTTTCAGAAGATTTTTTATTATGCAGGGATTTTGTCTCATATAGCTTTGGTAGAGTATCCCAGATCCCCTTTGATGTTTTCTTCTCCTCCATACTTGACAGCACCCCATCTTCTAATGCCAGTTGGAGATTAATAATAACATTTTCGTTCATCTTTTTCCACTTCTTATCATATGTGATGTCATCTGGCCTTGCATCGATGGCTGCTAGGCAATTATCTTTTCTCAAGATAGTATTTATCTTTAACTTTTACATTGAGAAATTATTCCCGTTGAATTTCTCGATCTCGAAATTCGCCGTCATTGCTTCTACCCAAGGTTTTAAATATCGGTTATCGGAGATTTATCGGACGACCAAAATCCTTATCGGATAGCGGAAATCGGGGATATATCGGGGATAAATAGTATTTATCGGAGTGATATACTGGATGATGTGTATATATAATATAACAATTAAAAAATGTAATCTAATCATGCTTAATGAAATATAAACATACCAAAATGTAAATCATCATGTTTAGAATCATTAACCAATTGTAGAAAGCGAAACTTGCATCATAGCCTTGAAAAAAATATAATATTAGTCAAAATGGACCGATAATCCCGATAATCCCGATAAAAAAGTCTTACTTATCGGCCGATAAGTGCCGATAACGCCGATAAATCGCCGATAAACGTAGAAAAATGATAACCGATTAAAAATCCAATTTATCCTAACGGAGAGCTCCCAAATCCGATAACTCGGCCGATAATATCGATTATCGGCCGATATTTAAAACAGTGCTTCTACCACGAACAATAACTTCTTATTGTGAATAGTATCATATTTATGAACAGTACTGTGCTCGTAAATAGTAACCATCACCTTTAAAGGATAAATAATAATCTAACTTATTTTCTGACGTGGAGGATCCACCTTTGGTGGCAGCTACAAAGCATATGATAAGTAGATATACGCACCCTAAGTCAGACTCTGATACCACTTGTTGGGACAAACCTGATGCCCAATAGAGCAAGGTCCCAGCAAATAGTTGTGCAAAAATAATAAAATGAACACACAGATTTATATGAAAAACTCATTAAATAAATTTAGAGTAAAAACCACGAGCAATGATAGAAGAATCCACTATGAGAAAAATTTAGGAGTTATAATCTCTCTTTTCAAGGAGAATATCTCTCTCTCTCTCTCTCTCTCTCTCTCTCTCTCTCTCTCTTCACTCTTAATTGGAGACACTGGGATGATCTAAACTTAACGTTGGGAAGAGCTACATATAGGCGAGTTTGTGGTAGGTGCGCACCGTTGCTATAGAATTGCTATAATAACATTTAGTGGTCTGCAGTTGGTATTATTGTAGCGGGTAGGTGTACACTGTAGACACAGTAACTTTCCATCAGATATCAGTATTTGTCAAAATACAGCTATAAACAGTGAGTGGTATCTACTTATTCTGTGTACATTATTCTTATATCTGTCTTAGACAAGATGACTGTACTTTTCTATCCCTGAAAGATTTTCAGCAGAGTCCTTCTGGACAATACTCAATAACGTACATAGAGTCTGCTGTCTTCATTTTGTGCATAAAAGTGTTGCAAATCCTCACCCCCATCTAAAAAACTTTGATCACGCAATCCATCAACTTGATCCTTGTCATCATCTCTGCTGATCTCTTCACTGATGATGCTACCGTTCTTCTCCATTAGCTGCCTGAAAATTGAAGACTTCAGCAATAATCCGAGCGCAGTCACAGAGGTCTTGCTGCTCGAAATTTGCCTCGGCAAAAACTCATCTCCAGTAAAAAGATTGTATTGTGGGATTGGTTCAGTGTTGCAAGTTAAAAATGGATTGTTAGGAAGCTGGATGTCCTGCAATTGGCATTTGTTCGATATCGTATCTCGATGAATGTTTACGTCATTTGAGTAACTCTCTGGCCTTAGCCATTTGATGTAGGTTCTTAAATCAAAGTTTGTTACAGCATTGATTCCTCGATACTCTATTGCTGCAATGTCATAGGCATGGGCAGCCTCTTCTTGTGTACCTGAAAGATGAAAGATTAAGTTTTTAGATGGTGTGTGCAAACGTCAGGGACATTAACATTAGAGTTAATTGCATGCAGACCCCCTGTAGTATTGCTGTTTTGTACATACTGTCCAAGTAGTTTTATTGTTGCAAATAGACCCCTAGGTTAGATTTTTTTTGGACTCTTTTACCCTCACGTAGATTTCTAAATTCACCAAGGGGCAATATCTGTCAAAATTTACAATAGTAGAAGAGTCACAAAAAAAACCCGGGCGTCTATCTTCAACAATGAAACATAACGGTAGTAAGCGTAAAATAACGATACTATGGGGGCCTATGTGAAATTAACCTTGGAATAAATTAGGGTAAAATTCATAAATCACCCTTTCCCATAAGCTAGAGTGTTAAAGCGAAGGCATTATCTTAGAAACAACT